CCTACATCAATAAAATATCTTACTAAATAGATGGGGGTTGCATGAATTCCATCACTGACATGTTAGCAGTACAGAGAGGATGGAAAACTATAAGAACAACAAAGAACTTTCATATCCCTTCCTGTGTGTGATCTTTACAACCCTATGTAGGATTTGGGTCTGCAAATATTTCCAGCTTCTAGCTGAAGACACATGGTTCAGAGACAGGAAGGAACTTAGGATTGGTCAAGATCACAGGCCCCGATGAAACTTATCAGCTGTGTGGCCTTGGGGACAATAGTTTTTCTATGATCTGTTGGTCCTGAAGCTTACATCATCTTAGGAGTTCTCCTTAAGAAAATATAAAAACATTATTGTTAAAATGTTACTGAAATGCATGTGAAATACCGTGAAGACAACTCTAGGTCTTCTATGGGTGTCTTGGGAGGGTACTGTGTTAGGTGAAAGATCCCTGCATTAAAGTGTCATCGACTTGGAGCTCTGCTTCCAAGTTTGCCTCTTCTGGGATAAGAGACTTAGCTAATTTTCATCTGCCAAATGGGTACATGGACAATCTTTGATGCAGGGTAATTATGAGGATTAAACCTTACATTATATTGAGAAGCATTTATAAACTGTCTGGCACATCACATGTGTGTAATAAATATTTGTGATTACTAACATTGCTCAAAGTCATGTTGTTGTAGCTGGAGTCATTTGGACTGCTTTCTAGAGACTGAATTATTCATGTGTGTACTTAAGGAAATTATGCCTTCAAGGCTATTCCACCTGTTTCAGTCATTCATCTAATAAGCAGGCATTGAGTTCCTTGGTAGATGCCACATCCTGCAAAGCTCTGGTCTCCAGAAATTCTTGCACCTCCTCCTCCGAAGCACAACACTTTATCTCCTCCTCTTTGAAGCTCTCCCAGGACCCCAGTGGATTCCCTGCCTTGCACATTTGGACCCTCGGTATGACTGGTTTGCAGATGAACAATGGCTTAGGAAAGAGTCCTCTTCCCGTTACCTTGATCATTTTCGCACAGATGCTTTACTCATGTCCAGTCACATTGATGGAAGTGAGCTTGCTTTCTTCTACATGGAGATTTGCATTCCTCTTGCCATCTATTCAGTCTGCAAGATGTGTGCAGAACAGCCTTTGAAAACTCTGGGAACGAATACAGGCTGTCTTATTGTTTGCTTTTGGGAGATAACTTAAACCTTTCATATCTTATAGCAGCTGAAATGCTCGCTGCCAGCCCATACTCTGCACACTTTTCTCTTTTAGTAATAATAAAAAAAGAAAGCATAATACGGTTGCATGAGGAAGTCCTTGGGGTATTGTCCTGTATCAGGGAAGGCAGCTAAGCTCCGGTGTCCAGTAGAAGCCTGGAACAATCTAAAAACAAAAAACAAAAACAAAAACAAACCACCACTAACAAAAAACCCCCCAAGGGATTAGGATGTGTATTTAAAACCAGAAGTAGGCCTTGCAAGTTGTATAATGTCCTGACTTATAAGACATTAACTGAAAATTAATTCTACAAAAATTCTTAGGGGTCTGAAAACACTCCAGCACTCGGTATGCTGTGTTGCATGCAAGCAGAGGAGGGCGGTGGCTAGAGGAAGGCACCAGCTAGTGTCCTGTCTTCCACAATGAGTTAGTTCCCTTTGTCCTCTTCTCTGGCTAAGACAGCCCACTGGAAGCTGGATACCTGTCTTTTCATAGTTGACACAAAAGTCCAGCTGGAAGTGGGGACTCTGGAAGTGGGGGCATTGCCAGAGGTTACAGTTTCTATCATACCAGTCACCCCACAATGCTCTCAGCAAAGTATTCAGTGCCGTGTCTCCCAGAACACTTATCTTCACAGGTTTCACCAAACAGGCCCCCAGTCTGGACTACCTGGACCTGCCAACATTGGCCATGAATTCCTAAGGTCAGACTTTCCACTCTTCTTTCATGTGCGGCAAAAAAGTGTGATTTCATCCACCTTTCACAGTTCTAAGCAAGTGCGGTTCCCGCTTTCATCCGGCAGGGAAGAGTGACATTAAACATGTCACCTTGGTGAAGCTTTGCATTCACCTTCCTGCTAATGAGCCAGGGTCCCTGGGGACTTCCGTGAAGAGCCTACTCCTCCAAATTTTCAGGAGTAACTCATCTGAAATCTTATTACAAGCAGGTTCCACGGGGAATAGAGTTATGGCAGGCTTGCAAAAAAAAAAAAAAAATCTATGGGCAAGCTTCCTGCAGCAAGTATTCTGAGGGACTCTGTATCTCACTTCCAGGCACACCATCATAATCTTTTTTAAAGGAACCACAGTGGGCCCCAAACAGAAGCTAAAATGTTGTGCTGGCAACGTAAAAATGGGCTTTTTTGTAACTGCCCCCTTTGTTGACTTCTAGAAATCAGGGTGTCTCATTGTAGCCTAGACTGGCCAAGAACTCACTACATAGCCCAGGCTGGCCTGCAGCTGGTTGAAATCCTCCTGCTTTATCCTTTCAAGGGCTGGGAAGACGGGCAGGAGCCTCTAGGCTTGACTCTCTTTTGCTTCCTGCCCTCATGCACCTCCCTTCTGTCACTCTTTCCAGGCAGGGCGCTTTTGCTCCAGTACTCAGTTAGGGAAAGGACCCTCAAGGGCACTCCTTCCTCATTCCCAAACCAATCTGACTCTGAGTTCCTAAGCCAGAAGTCCCGGCTGGAACTCCAGGTCAGCGGACTCGGCACCACCATCCTCTTACACCCGCCCCCCCGCTCCGCCCCTCAGAGAACTGCTTCTTTGAAGAACTGCTTCCCACAGCCAGCTTAGGGAAGCTGACGTAAACATCCCGAGGAAATAGCCAGAGCGGCTATTTCAGCCTCATTTCCCCAAGGAAGTAATCAGCACCTCTGTCCCGAGACAGCTCCAGGTGAGCGTGTAAGCTCCGGATCACTTTCACAGGCTCGAAAGTACAGACGCTCGCAGAACAGTCCGCTCCCAACCATTGTCCTGTTTAATGTTCAGAACCACCCAGCCATCGAGCGGGGGAGGTATTATGGATAAAAGCCGGGGTCTGGGGCGCCCGCTTCCCTTTTTTGGGTTCCTCAGATCTGCCTTGGATCCCCGCGGTCCCCCCACCCCCAACTGGGGGTAGGGTGGGGCGTGCTCTCCAGTAAACCAGTCTGCGGCGTAGACAAGTGGCCCCGCGGTCACCGGCAGGCGTCCCTCCGGGTGGACCTTGGCAGGATTAGAGAAACCCTGGACTACAGGCCAAACCGCCCGAGGCAGGGCGCAGGGGCGCGGATAAACAGGCGGGCTCCGGGAACAAAGGAGGTAGAGGGGGACGCGAGAGCGGGGACGGGAAGTCTTCCCTTGGCAGGAGGGAGGGGCACGGAGGCCCGAACCCCGCCCCGGCCCGCCCCTCAAAACCTTCTTTCTTCTCGCCCGCGCTCGGAGGCGGTCGGTGGAGAAGCCGAGAGGGGGCGCAGTTCGCCTTCGCCGCCCGCTAGTCCCGTCGCACCCTTCCCCGGCCGCCACCCCCAACCCCCGAGAAGCGCACAAAGAGCGCCAGGCCCGACCACATCCCCGCGGGTCGGGGCCGGGCGGAGGGCGGGACCCGGCCAGGCGGAGGGCGGGGCCGGCGCGCTCCGGGCTCCTCGCGGACAATGCGCATGCCTGAGCGCGAGCAGGGGCGGGACCGGGAGCGGCGGGCGCGCACGCCCGCGTCGTCCCCGGGCGCCGGAGGGCCGGCGTCCAGGCGGTGGCCGCGCGGCGCTCGTGCGCGTGTGGGAGCCCGCGGGGTCCCGGTCGGCGCGCCAGGTGTGTGCAGGACCGGAGTGCAGGGCATTCCAGAGGTCGCCGGCGGCGCTGGGGGTCAGGCCCGCGCTGCCACCGGCTTCTGGGGTTGGCATCCGCTCTTTCGGGGCCACTTGGAGAAAGTGCTCCCCAAGGGGACGGAAATGTGGGCGCACGCGCGGCTGGCAGTGCGAGCGGGCGTGCCTTTTGTGTCGCGTGCGCTCCCGCGCAGGTGGGCAGCTCGTGCCCAGCAGTCACTATACCAAGGGGGCCCAGGAACCTCGAGACCTGGTCTCCGCGTCCCAGGCTCGGGCCGCCCTCTTGTTCAGCTGTCTTGCATTGCCTACCGTCCACCTAGTGGTAGTGTCGGGGCCAGGAACGCTTTATTTGGGGGCAGTAACGGGACTTTCGAAGGACCGCTCTTTGGAGCCTAGCCGCCCGCATCACAATCGGGCGCCTTTTTCTTCTCCACCCGGAGAGGAAAGAGACTTGAGGACAGTGGCTGTCCTCGGCTGATGGGCACACTAAACGTCCAGAGCCAGCCAGTCCCGCATTAGACAACAAAGAGAGGCGTTCGCGGCGGCGGGGGAGGGGCGCGACCGGGAGGAGGCCGGGGCGGGCTGCGGCGAGCTCGGTGGGGGTGGTGCTGGCTCCTCCGCTCGCTCGGCCCCGGCCTCCGCCCGCCCCCCGGCCTGGCGCGCGCCAATCGCCTCCCCCAGCGATAGTGTCAGTAGCATTGTAGAGTCAGCTCCCGCCGGTGACGTTGCGCCTCCCTCGTCCCCCTCCGGAGCCGTCTGGCTGCAGAGGCTCAGTCAAGAGGCGGGTAGAAGAGGAGGAAAAAGCGCTGAGTGAGGGCGGGCGGGCGGGAGGGCGGGAGGGAGTGGAGGAGCCGGGGAGGGGCTCCTTAAAGAAACGCTGCTGTCGCTCTCCTGCTCGCTTTGCGCTCGGCATTGTGGCCAGCCAGCCGGGCACTCGGGGGGCACGCGCGGCCGCCGCTCGAGCTCTGCCCCCACCCCAACCGCCAGCAGATCTGGGGTGGGGACCCAGGCGGGGGCTCTTGCAGCCACTGCCCGGTGCGGACTGCACGCAGGGACCCACTCCTCCGGGCGCTGAGGAACGAGCCACGGAGCCCTCCGCAGCCGACCGGCCTCCCCGCCCCTGACCACCCGCTTCCCGGCTGTCTTTGTGGCTGCACCTTCTGGCTGCGGAGCGGAGAGCCGGCTGGGGCGCGGCGCGCGCGGCGGAGCGATGCCCAGCTCGCTGTTTGCAGACCTGGAGCGCAACGGCAGCGGCGGCGGCGGCGGCGGCGGCGGCGGCGGGGGAGGCGGCGGCGGGGGTGGCGGCGGCGGCAGCGGCGGGGGAGAGACTCTGGATGACCAAAGAGCCCTGCAGCTCGCGCTGGATCAGCTCTCCCTGTTGGGACTGGACAGCGACGAGGGCGCCTCTCTGTACGACAGCGAGCCGCGCAAGAAGAGCGTGAACATGACCGAGTGCGTGCCGGTCCCCAGTTCCGAACACGTCGCGGAGATCGTAGGGCGGCAAGGTAGGTCCGGCAGGGATGGGGACCAGAGGGGCGTGTAGGGTCCCCGGCCGCCGCCTCGCGGCGAGGGCGGGTGCGAGATCGCGAGTTGTGGCGCGGGGGAGCCTCGGGGAGGGAGGAAGAGCCGCGCGATGGGCCGGCGCACTAGACAAAGAAAGTGCAGGCAGGCTGTCCCCGCCGACGGCTCCAGCGCCGCGGCGGGATGCACTTTCTGCTGCTAAAATCACCGCCCTCTCCTCTAAGGCTTCAGACTTCGGATCACCCTAGGAAAGAGGGTTTAAATATGAGATCCTGGGGGAGGGGGCCTCTGGTGGTCCTCTGGGAGGGTGGGATGAGGGGAGCGTACGGTGGCAGGAGGATTCAGGATTTCTGCAAAGCGGAATGGAGTCCAGAAAGGGAACAATGGGTCCCAGGACTGCCATCTCCCCAACCCCACCCCTAGGTTTCCCGGGAGCCCCTTGGTGTCTTCAAGGCAGTGACTGCGCTCCGTCGGATGCCAGAACATCTCCCCAGATGACTTTTCTGGGGTTCTGGGCTTTGCTTGGGACGACTGCAGTCCCTGGGGGAGGGCTGGGCAGCCGATGGGCTGATCCTCGAGCGTTTCGCGGGTGGAAGCCGCGGTCCAGCTCGTGGCGCCGTTCGGGGTCAGCGAGGGAGACGCCCCCTTTCTCCCCGTCGCGTGTTCCGCTGTCCAGCTGCCTCGGGCGCGGGCTGTCCCGGGTCTCCGCGGTTACCCGGGGATAATGGGCGTGTCTCTCTCTCCTCTCCTCTCTTCTACTCCCTCCCTCGCACCCTGGATCCCAGGTTGTAAAATCAAAGCTTTGAGGGCGAAGACCAACACTTACATCAAGACCCCAGTTCGCGGGGAGGAGCCTGTCTTTGTTGTGACGGGCAGGAAGGAAGATGTGGCCATGGCTCGGAGGGAGATCATCTCCGCCGCGGAGCACTTCTCCATGATCCGAGCTTCACGGAACAAGAACACGGCTCTCAACGGCGCTGTGCCGGGACCGCCCAACCTGCCAGGGCAGACCACTATCCAAGTGAGGGTGCCTTACCGCGTGGTGGGGCTCGTGGTGGGGCCGAAGGGCGCCACGATCAAGCGCATTCAACAGCAGACGCACACGTACATCGTGACGCCCAGCCGGGACAAGGAGCCCGTGTTCGAGGTGACCGGGATGCCAGAGAACGTGGATCGCGCCCGCGAGGAGATCGAAGCTCACATCGCGCTGCGCACGGGCGGCATCATCGAGCTGACAGACGAGAACGACTTCCACGCCAACGGCACAGACGTGGGCTTTGATCTGCACCACGGGTCCGGCGGGTCCGGGCCGGGCAGTCTCTGGAGCAAGCCCACGCCGAGCATCACCCCCACCCCTGGCCGCAAGCCCTTCTCCAGCTATCGCAATGACAGCTCCAGCTCCCTTGGCAGCGCGTCCACAGACTCCTACTTCGGCGGGGGGACCAGCGGCAGCACGGCGGCCACTTCACGGCTGGCGGACTACAGCCCCCCCAGCCCTGCACTCAGCTTTGCCCACAATGGGAATAACAATAACGGCAACGGTTACACCTACGCTGCGGGGGAAGCCTCAGTGCCTTCCCCGGATGGCGGTCCCGAGCTGCAGCCTACTTTCGACCCGGCTCCCGCCCCACCGCCGGGGACACCCCTCCTCTGGGCCCAGTTCGAGCGCTCCCCCGGAGGTGGATCTGCGGCGCCAGTGTCCTCTTCCTGCTCTTCCTCGGCGTCCTCCTCTGCCTCGTCGTCCTCTGTGGTCTTTCCCGGGGGCGGTGCCAGCAGCACGCCCTCCAATGCCAACCTGGGGCTGCTGGTGCACCGCCGGCTGCACCCGGGCACCAGCTGCCCGCGCCTGTCTCCGCCCTTGCACATGGCCCCGGGGGCGGGAGAGCACCACCTTGCCCGGCGCGTGCGAAGCGACCCGGGGGGTGGAGGCTTGACCTACGCCGCCTACGCTAACGGGCTAGGGGCACAGCTCCCCGGCCTGCCCTCGTCGGACACCTCGGGCTCCTCCTCGTCCTCCAGCTCTTCCTCCAGCTCTTCCTCCTCTTCCTCGGGGCTGAGGCGCAAAGGCAGCCGCGACTGCTCCGTGTGCTTCGAGAGCGAAGTGATCGCTGCGCTAGTGCCCTGTGGCCACAACCTCTTCTGCATGGAGTGTGCCAACCGCATTTGTGAGAAGAGCGAGCCCGAGTGTCCCGTCTGCCACACCGCGGTCACTCAGGCCATCCGCATCTTTTCCTGAAGGCAGTGCGCGCGTGCGCACACTGTGCAGGGAAGGAGGGTTCCCTCCCTAGACCCTCATTCCCTAGGGCCTACCTGCCCAGACGCCTCTGGTGCCCACCTCTTTCCACCCTACCCTCCTCACTCTCAGAGATCCCAGAGGAGCTTGGAAAGCTGTAGTATCCGCTCATTTTTAAAATGTCATTTTTAAACAAAGGAACTTGCCAGGATCTCTGCATCAGGAGTACTGTAGTCTCCGAAACCACCCGAATTGCATGCTCTATAAATAATAGGACCGGCGACATTCTAGTAACGATAGTTTTTACACTGTACTTAATAGGAAGCTTCCAAAAGAAGAAAACCCCACAAGTTTTCCATTTTCTTGAAGTAGGAGAAAAATGAACAGTAATTATGAAGATGATAAATAATTGTGCTATGGGATGTGTGGACTGTTTTGTGTGTCTCCCTTCGTGGGTGGGTTCCTACAGCACTCGTTCTAGAACTCAAGTGGATCCTTTTTGAATGTTCATGGAAGGGCCAGGAGTTCTGTACAGCCAGGACCCTGCAGCTTTATTAAAGTTAAAACTGTAACATATCTCTTATATATTAAAAAAAAAAACCTTTAAAAGTTTTAAAGAGAAATTGCATTAATACAGATTGAAGTATTTTATTCTTTTTTTGACTTGAAAAATTATATTTCATATTGCAAAGATGTTTACAAGTATTTTAATTTAAGTTCAGTGAACTTTTTTGTAGCTGGGTTAAATCTTTTTATTTTTAGTATGGCCTTATGGCAAAGAACACTGTATTATTTTAATAATCACACAATTGTGACGGATTACAAACCATAAGATGTATAACGTTTTGAGCAGTATTCTGTTGGGATGGAGATTTTATAGGTTCAGACAAATCTTCTAGATCTGCTTCACCCAGCATATTTTCTATTCAGTGATATAAAGCATATTTTATTCTATATTATTACAAAAAAACGGAAATGTATAAACATGTCAAAAGGAACAGTTGATGCTTTCTAACATTTGTATAAATAGAATTCAGTGCAAATTACAGAAATTCTGTTGCACCGCTATAGTTTTAGTGTTTCTATTTTAATACATTTGTTTACCACTTGTTTATGTATATGTAGGTGACGTTACTTGAGCTTAAATGTACTTTACTGAGCAAAGTTTAAAAAAACAAAGTATATTTTATTTTATGATAAAGGGCCTTTAACCTCATGGTCAAATACTAATATTATATTTGCTGAGACAAGATTTGAAATTGTATCAAGAGTTTTATTTTTCTGACATTTAAAGTTCTACATAATAAAGGTAAACTTAAGTAATGGTGCTACTTCATTTTTTAAGTATTTCTATATAAATAAAACATTGAAGAAAAATCAGAATTGTATGGTGACTTGATTTCCTTTTAAGGCCTCCTGGGGTGTACCTTTGAAAAGAAGCATCGATAGACTGAAATACACCGATTCCACAGAGAACATGTAGTTTATCAATAGAGCAGATTCCACCGAAGGGTAGGATTTCCTTGGATGGATGGTCACAGGTAACAATGTTTTTGTCAAATTGCAAACAGTTTACTAAACCAAGACTTATTTCTACACTAGATATAGCTGGCAATGTGGAGGGACCATGATATTTTTTGGGGGGTGGGGAATGGGGGGCTGGAACATGGTTAATTTATTTTTAAATTAGAAGACAAAAAGGAAATGGAGACATTCCAGAGAAACATTTGCACTTTCAGCTCACACAAACCTGTTATGTTTACCTAAAACTATTAAGAAAAAAATTTTTAAAAAGTGGAACTGACAATCAATTTGAACGATATTTTAGAAGGCTGGGGCTCAGGGAAATAACTGTCCTGCTCAACCTGAGGCACCCCCCCTACCCCCCAGACACAGGGCATTCAGGGATACTTATGTGCTGGCTGCCTTGGAGAAGTGAGTCCCACCTAGGGCCTCTGCAAAGGATGGAGGGTTCTGCCTGCTGAGGGCCTGGATTTGAGCTTCTGTCTTATCAGGTATCTTTAGGGTCAGGCTAATTGGTGTCGACAGGCTGCAAGTGTTAACTGTTTGTTGTTGCCTGAGGAAAGTTTCTGTTTGCTTTTGGCAGCAGCTCTACTTCTCCCCTTGCCATGGGGGGCCTTTTCTGTTGTGGGGGAGGAGCAACAACTACTTTTACTTGACCTGAACTTTGTCTCCTAAAGAATATCCAGGAACGAACAGACCCTGCCATGGAATTTCCAGTCAACTTCCTGACTGGGCTGCCTCTGGAAAACAGTAAGGAATGTGGTGATCTTAGCTGGTGGCTCTAAAGATTTTATATACATACATACATACATACATACATGTGTATATATGTACACACACACACACACACAATTATATTGCTTGTTCCTCTTGGCCCCTTTTATGTTGACATTTGTTTTTAGGAAATGAAATCACTTCTTCCATAGCTCCCAGTGTATTAGGTTTAAATGATGAGTTGGATACGCCTTCAGGTGACAGGAGAGAAAGGAGTGGCCTGTTTAGAGAATTTCTGGCATTATCTTCAACTCTGGAAGGTTCTCAGCTATGTGACCCTTCTTTTGCCTCTCTCCCTCAATAGGACTTAGACCTGGCAGTGGGAGAAGCCATTCGGTCTAAGCCTCCTCTCGTGCAGCTGTCTGGAAACGCCCAGAACCAGAATTCCATTTCCACTTACATTCTTTAGTATTGTAAGTTTGGCTTTCTGCTTTAACAGAAGGGACATGATACAGGGAAACAGCCTAGGGTGTGTCCCATCCCCAGTTGATGTGTTGTTTATTTACTTAGGTTCCTTTTATTGATATTATAAGCTTTATTATAAAAGACTTCGAAATCTTGCACACCAAGATTCACTGGACCCCAAATCTATACAACTCAAGGAAACATCTCTACAGTTAGCATAGGCATGAGGGACAGAAGCTATAGAAAAAAAAAAAAGCTGAATTTGAGGCTACATACTTGGGTGGCTTGCATAACTTCTTTCTTTCTCTTGTGTGTGCACATGCAGAATCCATATGCCTTCCTCAAACCCTTTTTGTTTTTATTTTTTTCTGATACAAGGTCTCACTGAATCTGGGGTTCAAGGAAAGATTCCACTGCGCTGGCTGCTCCTCAAGCCCCAGGGATCTCACTGTCTCTGCCTCTCCAGCCCCGGGGTTGTCTCCTCCCCACGCCTGGCATTTTAAGTGGATGATGGGGCTCCACGCTCAGGTCCCCTCTCCCTGGCCCCTGGCCTGCCCTTCTTTACAGCGAGAAGGGGGCTACTTTGCCGAAAGGGTTGGAGATATATTTTAGTACAGTCATCAGCAGAGACTAGACATGTGCTATCAATCTTGCAGAAGGAGTGCTTATGGTACAATTAAGCCTTTTGCTCCATCATCCAGGTGACTTCCTGGGGACCACTAATGGCAGGGGTGACAGTCCTCCAGCTGGAAATAGGAAGGGTGCCGTATTTACATTCTCCAAGCACCACCAGCTTCCCTCTCCACTTCTACACTAGGGAATCTACCATTCCAGAGCAACAAGGCACCCGCTAGCAAACACCTCTCTCTCTAATGACTAGTCCCGCTTTATCTATGTATGTAGAATACTGGGTCTCAACAGGGCTGGGTTTTACGCACTCACGCATGCATGCACGCACGCATGCACGCATACACACACGCTCCTATTTGGCATTCTTCTTAGCACATTTTGGTTCTGAGATAATGGGTGGTTGTACTTGTGTCTTAGTAGATAGAGGCTAGAAATAAGGCTAACAGCCCAGTGTTCAGGACAGCCCCATGACGAAGGCCTCAGCAGGGGTCTTTCCTACTGCCCCTTCCCTGCTTTATGGCTTTCATCCAACACGTAGGGGCCTCCAGGCTGAGCTGTGGGTATTTGGAATCACCTATGACCCCAGATAGCTGGAGTTGTGTCAGGACCCTGGAGGCGCAGGTCCAAGCCCCACCATCAAGGGACTGTTTTTACTCACCAAAGAAAGAGTCGTAGCCGGTATTCACTAGGCAGCTTTGCTCCAAATGGGTGGTTCAAAACTAAACATATTTGTGTTTCATCTGAATATTTTGTGTTTTTGAGAATTTCAAACATGAGTGCTGTACTCACATTTCCACCGCTCCCTTTCCCCCTCACACTCCTCTTCTGTACCTCTCCTCAAGGTCATAACACTTATTATTATTGTATATGTATATACACACATGCCCCCCCCCCCACTGGGTCCCTGGGATCATGTGATTAGTTAGGGCTGACCAGTTGGGACTCGATAGCCTATCAGCATTATTATTATTATTTTTTATATTTGTGTGTGTGTGTGTGTGTGTGAGTGTGTGAATGTGCAAGCACCACATGTATGGATGCCTGAGGAGGCCGGAAGAAGGTATGGGATCCCCTGGAACTGGAGTTACAGGCAGTTGTAAGCTGTCCGGTGTGGGGGCTGTGGACTGAACTTGGATTCTCTGGAAGAGCATCGAGCTCTCTTAATCACCGTGACATCTCACCAGCCTCTAAGATACTTAATTTTTAATTTATTTAAGTCTATTGTTGATCTGGGTTTGGTGGTGCATTCTTTTAATCCAGCCTGGTCTTAGTGAGTTCCGGAACAGCCAAGGCTACAAAATAGAGACCACATATATACATGTGGTTTGTGTGTGTGTGTGTGTGTGCACCCACACATGTTTGCGCTCACTGGTCATGGTCTGTGCGCTGGTCAGATGGTGACTTTGTGAGGTTCTAAATACCAGACTCTGGTCACCAGGCTTCTGTGGTAAGTACCTTTCCCGCTGAGCCGTGTCCCTGGCCCCCAACACACTTCTGCTCACCTCTCTTCTGTGATCTCCCAGTACAGGTCGCACTGGGACTTCACTATGCCCTTTCTCAGTTAAGACACAAATAGTCCGCTCACAGTGTCCCAAGCAGACTCAACTTGGCTTTTCTAGCGTAGGTCATGCTCTCTCTGTTGTCACGGTCCCTGAAGCCAGAGACAAAAGAAATAGAAACTGTTTAAACTTCTCCAGGTATATCTTGACACCTTTTCCATTTTTGTTTTTTATGAGTTCCCCTTATGCTACTAGAATTTGTTCTTGGAGAAACTGCCAATCTCTGTAGCAAACTCCCAGTCATTAACCAATGTGCTTTTCTCTGTTCAAAAAATAGGGAAAATTTACCCTTTCTAAAGTTTTAGGCCTGCTAGCCATGCAATTGTTGGTTCTAGTTACCTTGAAAACTTCACGGGCTTAAGGAAGGTAATTTGGGAAAAGATGGAGATTATGCTGCTCACAGCCACTCCCCCCCTCCCACCCCATGGGAGACAGAGTCTCACTATGTAGCCCAGGCTGGTCTCCAACTCACTATGCTGCCTGAGTCTCCCACATTCTGGGAGCGCAAGCCTGTGTTGGTATGCCTCCGATATAGCCTTCTCTTTCAGAGGGTCATTTCCAGGGTGGGGTGGTGACTAACTCGGCAAAGCGTTTGCCTCCCAGGTGTGAGGACCTCAATACAACTCCCAGAACACCCTTAAA